TGGCTCTCCCTACAGCACACAGACAGCAGTGGTTCAAGAAGGCAGCTCACCCCCACCTTCTCAAGGGGGCAACTATTGACGGGCAATAAATGCTGGGCCCAGGCAGTGACACCCACATCCCATGAATAAACTTGTTTTAAAAACATCTGTGCGGAGAGAGAGAGTTAATGTTTCAAGTCTAATGTGAGTCTTACTAAATTGCTGCACAGGCTTTATCAGACTCAACATTAACTCTTGTTTCGTGTATATGTGATCTTACGCTCATCAGTTTCACATTTTAACCAGTCTAACAGAATTTGTGGCAGCAAAGACTCTGTAAATGTCCAAGGATTGAAGCTGAAATGGTTTCTTTACATTTTGTTCAGCTGCTTTGTGTGTTGCAAATACCTTTTGTGTAAATAGCATAAAAAGATTGGAATGCAGTGTTGTTCTTGTTCCAGTTTTGCAATGGGTGAGGGTCTTTAAAACGCCGCACAGTTTGGTGATTATCCTCCATCCTACTGGTCAATTCTGTATGTAATGAGGTGGGGGAAGAACTGAAGAACAGATCAAATTTCCCTTCCACCTAAAAAATTACCGAATATTGTTTTCCTCAAAGCTGCTGTGTTTCTGGGTTTGTTTTTGGCTTAACATGTTGAGTGGAAGGTCTCTGATTCATACAATGTGTCATTGGTTCACGTGTGTGAGGTTTAGTCTGTAAGTGCACCAAAATATGAATCGTGTTATGAAAGAAAATTCAGCATGCTGTGAGACTCCTTGCTTATAGTGAGAGTCCGTCACTTAATATTCATAATGATGTGGGCAGGTTGAATGGTGCTGCTTTGTTCACAGGTTAGTAGTTCATGGGTGTGACGCGTGTGTGTGTGTTTCACACTGTATCGGTAGGCAGTAAAACAGGTTGTGGGGGGCAGAATGTGGGGGATGCTGTGATTGATTTAGACCCCTGAGGAGCCGCAGGCATAAGCTATGGCAGTATCCAGCCATATGCCCCACAGTTAGTTTCCATGGTTTATTGCAGGCATTCAATGAGAATGGCCAAATGCAGATTTCTTCATTTTTAAAAAGGTTATAAAATGCCAAACAATTTCTGATGCCTTCAATCTTGCCTCACCATCTGTACTTATCTAATTCTTACTTAGTAATTGGAGATCACTGTTTCTTTATTCTTTCCTGTGATTTGGGGCTTTGCTTATTGCCCCATCCCTAATTGCCCTTGAACTTTGCTCAACCATTTTAGGGGGCAGTTAGGCATCAAGCATGTTGCTGTGGGTCTGGTGTCACGTGTAGGCCAAACTGGGTAAGGATGGCAGATTTCTGTCCCTAAAGGACATAAGTGATCCAGGTGGGTTTTTACAACAGTTAATAGTTTCATGGTTACCACGAAAGGGAATAGCTTTCAATTCCAGAATTTAATATTTGAATTTAAATTCTTCCAGTTGTTGTGATGGGATTTGAACCCAGGTCCCCAGAACAATTCTCTAGGCCTGTAGATTACTAGTCCAGTGATATTGCCACTATGCCATCTATAACTTTGCGGTGTTCCTGACAGATGATATGAATGTGAAAGCACATGGTGCTGAGACCCATTTATAAACAAAGGGATTTGTCCCCTGGTGTTTGAAGGGGTAACTGTGTTGTGTTGCGGGAGAGCAGAAAGCTCCATGTGCAGTTTGCAGCTTCAGCGCGCAGCCCTCACCATTCGTTGAGGTCATTGGCAAATGCAGCCATGGAGAGAGTTTTTAATGGATGCAGTGACCTGGAACACTCTGCCCTGGAAAGCCGCTGGAAGTGGATCTTATAGGAGCTTCCTAAAGTGATTTGGATGAATACTGGGAGAGGAATCTTTCAGGGCTACGGGGAAAGAGGTAGGAGCATGGGATTAATTGGTTAGCCCTCAGAGAAGTGCACAGGGCTGAATGGCCTACAGTGTTACTCTATGATGTGGTTGGAATAGCGACTAGCCACCACCCGCGTGAACAACGGAAAGGAATAAGGTGTCCTGTAACTGTCTCTGACCTCCTTCTGGAAAGTGGGTCGGTCTGGGTGCTGGGTTTTACTTTAATGCATTTTGGATAAACTGCATGGCAGAGTCTGATATGTGGAAGGGTCGCTTGGAGAGGAGGTTGTGGAAGGGCCGCTGAGAAAAAAACAGAGCTTGAGAGATTACTGGTCTGAAGGAAGGATGGAGATACACTTAAAATAAGGTGGATCCATCGCCCAAATTGCCCTCTTTTAGAGAGCAAGGTGTTGAGCAATGGGTGGAAACTACTGACAGCTCCACAGAGCTGGTTCTGCTGTATTTTTTATCGCATGTCAAAGTACCTGTGCAGTTCAGAACTGAAGGACTCCAACAAAGTCCTCACTTGAAAGCTAACAGTGTCATAGAGTTATGCGGGATAGAAACGGGCCTTTCAACCCAACTCATCCATGCTGACGCGGTATCCTAAACTGAACTGTCCCATTTGCCTGTGTTGGTCCATATCCCTCAAACCTTTCGTGTCCATGTACCTATCCAAATGTCTTTAAATGCTGTAATTGTACCTGCATCCTCCACTTTCTTTGGCAGCTCATTTCACACACATGCACACCACCCTCTGCGTGGAAAAAGTCGCCCCTTGGGTCCCTTTTAATATCTTTGCCCTCTCACTTTAAACCTATTCCCCCTAGTTGTGGACTTGGCTATTCACCCTATCCATGCCCATCATGATTTTATAAACCTCTATAAAGTCACCCCTCAGTGTCCGACGCTGCAGGGAGAAAAGTCCCAGACTATCCTCCGTCTCCTTGTAACTCAAATCCTTCAGTCTTGGTGACATGATACTAATCTTTTTTTGCACCCTTTCCAGATTAATAACGTCCTACTTATAGCGGGGTGACCAGAATTGTACGCAGTACTCCAAATGTGGCCTCACCAATGTCCTGTACAGCTGTAATAGGACGCCCCAACTTCTGTACTCAACACTGTGGAGTTGTGCTTGTTTTGGTGAAGGACCCTTCCTGCATGTTTAAACAAAAACAGCAGCTGTCTGTGCCAGAAAGCCAATAAATTACCTCCTTGGTGCAGGTTTGTTTTTAGTTTAACAGGTAACAACACGCACATTTCCTCCTTCACATTACTGAGAGCAAGATGTGCATTCTCTTAATGGCCAGGCATCTCTCTACAGCCAGCAAGTACTTCAGAACATGATGTGGGGATAAGTTCACCACAGTAAGGCAGCATGTTTCAGACCGCTCCAGCTGTTTTAGTTTCCATACCTTTATAAGCTTCTAGCATGGAGAGCTGCTAATTATTTTTCATGTTTGAGTATGGTGTCCCAGTTCAAACTGTATGGTTAATTAGTTTAATGACCAGCTTCTTCATGCTGAGTTAATCTTTTCCCCCTCATCATTCCTTGGAAGAATTGGGGGAGGAGTTGTGAGATAATACGAACCAGAGAGGGTGCAGGCAATGGGAGACCTGGGGGTATATTAGCACAAATAGCTGAAGGTATCAGGGCAGGTTGAGTGAGCAGCAGCTAAGGCGTTTGGGATCCTGGGCATCAACTGTGCCTGGAGGACCATCAACTCGGTGAAAGACCCTCTTTGATCTGCCTGAATCTTGCTGGTCTCCTAGAGCAAGGAGTTGACTCTGACTGAGTGTTGCAGACTGGCACATTCCATTGTCCAGGAATACATGCTGAGGGATGCACTAAAGCTTGGGGCAGCTGCTGCCAAGGGGCATTGGGGAAAGACCACTGCCTGAGGTCTTTCTGCTGAAGTTAAATGGGGGTCTGTTCAGTTATCAGACCCTTCTAATGCCTTAATGCATGTAAACATAGTCTTGTATGTGTAAGAGATGTCTGGTTTGTTGGATAGTGTCAAACTCCAATGTCTTTTTGTTTCCTTGATATGCTACTGTACAGAACCAAACTGCATTTGTGATTGTGTGTACACACAGATATTTTGTATGAATAAAACATATTTTTGAAATAAAAGTATGGGATCCTGGGCTCTGGGTACAAAAGTAAGCAAGTTGTGGTAAAACATCTACAAGATACCTCTAGGGCCTCAACTGGAATATTGCATCATTGAGGCCCCCGGCTTTAAGAACAACATGAGAGGTTGTGCTAAAGATCCACAAGAATGGATCTGGGCAGGAGGAGTTCACTCTGTCTCAGATTGGAGAGATGGGTATTATTCTCTCTCAGCACAGATGTTCCGTGAGGAGGTTTGATGGGGGTTTTCAAAATTCCAGCTTTTGGGGCATGGGTCGGGGGTGTCAAGTCAAGCTGAGAGAGAAATATTACCCCCCCCATGCCCATAACAGTTGACCAGAGGGCACCAATTTTAAGATGGCAGATGGGCCAATAGCAGAATGAGGGGAAAGTGTGTGCGAGTGGTTAGAAGCTCAGATACCGGAGGAATTGCAGTGGAAGGTTCGATCAGCGCACTCAGTGGGGAAATTGATAAATATCTGAAGGGAACCAACTTTGCAGAACAGTGTCAGGGAGGAAACTGAGTGGGACAAGCTGAAATGGCAGGGGGAGGTGATTGGGACAAGCTGAATTGCTTTTGCAGAGAGCTGGTGTGTCAGTTAATGGCCACAAAGCCCCACCTTACGTTGTGTTCTGTGCTGAGGAAACTTGTTCTGGTTTGGTATGAATGCATGGTTTTAATTTTACCCCATCACTCCAGTTAAACAATCCTCACACACAGATCCTGTTGGCAAAGTTCCACATTCTAACGAGGGTCCCCTTTTATTTCCGGTCCCCTGATGTTTAAACACCAGACAAATGGGTTTCTTTTTCCAAAGTTCTCTGTTTAAATATCAGCTATTGGGTCCCACTGCACTATCTGTTCAACCGGGATTTAACGGAGAACAGATTTCTTGTGGGGTGAAGAATTGTAGTCATAGCTGCAGGATCATGTCATTCTGTATTGTGTGTGTATATATCATGTAATAGATTCAAGAGGAGGGGTCAGGAATCACAAGCTGTTACACTTTTAACAGATTGTCATTGGAGCAAGGGTACAGATGGCTGAGAAATGACAACTCAGATAATGTTAAACACGATCAAAATTCAGCATCAAGAGCTGAATCGGAGAACCTGTATTGAGGCACGATTGAGAAGGTGAGGATCATCTCAATACAAGATTGATTCTATTTTGTGCTCTGAAGTTGATGTCTTTGCCATTTTGTGAGACCCTGGACTATGTGCTTATGTGCCAGTAAAGTGCCCTTTCTGTAACAACACAACTTGGCGTGAGATGCGCTTGTATAGAACAAAAACAGCAAGGGATATCAGGATAGTGCAGGAAAATGGTTTTCAGAATCACAGCGTTGTTGCAGTGCAGAATAATTCCATTCATCCCATCCGGCCTGCACTAACTCAAGTGAGGGGCATCCACATCCTGTGCCAATCTCTCTCGCCATTTCCCCATATCCCTGCACACCACTTCTATCCAAATATCCGTCCAGTGCCCTCCTTGAAGAGCTTGATGGAACCTACTTCCAATACTCTTAGGCAGTACCTCAACTGGAAGCAGAAGACGAGCCATGATCTATCTCCAAGCAGACACAAGGAGCTGAACGGCCCTGTCCTGTTTCTTCTTAACCTCCGCAATGAAGACATTATTTCAGATATTTCTGACGATTAACCACCCAGCAACGCAGGATGGGGGTGCACGGAGATGGGGATATCTCCATCTCCTCTGTCACTGCTTCGTATTGAATGTTGATTTTAGATTGAACAGTTTTGTCTGAAGTACCCTTTTTATAAAAAAGAGTTCTGGTTAATCTCACATCTTTTCCCTATCTCCGTTGGTGTTTGTTTTTGTGAGTGGTTTCTTCAAGCAGTGAACACTGATGCCTTCGACAGAGTGGTTTCCTGGTGGGGCTTGACTCTGAAGGTTCCTTTGAATTATTTTGATTTATTATGGTCACTTACCTAGGTACAGTGAAAAGTTTTGTTTTGCAAGCAATACAGGGCGACCATACCATACAAAGTGCATTAGGGTGATAGAACGGAGCGAGGAATACAATGTTACAGCTGCAGAGAAGGTGCAGAAAGAGCGAGATCGATATTAGATTTGAAATTTGAGAGGTCCATTCAGAACAGTGGGGAAGAAGCTGTTCTTGAAACTATTGGTACATGGGTTTAAGCTTTTGTCTTCCACCTGATGGAAGAAGTTGGAAGAGAGTATAACCAGGGTAAGAGAGGCCTTTGTTGCCTGCCTTTTTAAGGCAGCGAGAAGTATAGATGGAGTTAATAGATGGAGGGTTGGTTGCATGATGGACTGTGCTGTGTTCACAACTCTCTGTAGTTTCTTAGTCCTGGGCAGAACTAGGTGGTGATGCATCCAGGTAGAATGCTTTCTATGGTGCAATTTGTATCAGTGCTCTGGCCATTCATCCGTCTCCCAACAGATGTTAGCCCTCCAGGTCTGTTTTCTTTATAAGTACTAAACACTAACTTGGATCAATGTATAACCAGGTTCTTATCTGTACCCCATCCCTCCCTGGTGAGCAGTTTGTCCATTGCTTCTATATGGTGATTAGGTTCAACAGGGAGGCAATGAGGTTTATTATAATAATTCTTATCTGGAATGCATGAGCTGCCTTGTCTTATCAGGCCATGAAGACGTTGCTCAACAATTGGAAATGCATGGTCTCTTGTTGATTCACCAGATTGTTTCCTGTGAGTTGCAGCGATAACTTTGTGAACTCTGATTTTTAAGCTCAAACTTCAATGCTTCTGCACCATTTGCCCGTACAATTGTCTGATCGATGATGGTTACTTCTGTAATTATTCCACAATAAAACTCCGCTGTGTCGAAGGCTGCAATCCCTCACATCTGTTCCATATAAATACAGCACAAGTTGGATCAGCAACAGAAACACAGTCACCAATGTTACACTCTGTTCATACAGTAACTGCTTGGCTGCTGTGTTGTTAACTGTTGGGAATGATGAATAAATAAATTGGAATCATCTTTTGCACTATTGAGTCACTGAGGATGAGATTTAACCTGTGATTTGTAGGCAGGTCAAATTCCTTTTTCAAAATCTTCTTTTTAATCTTTGTCTATTTTGAGACATTTGTTTAATGTCAAATAAATTGAATTTTCAGATGTATTTTGCTTTAGCTCAGATGACTGGAAGGCTGGTTTGTGATGCGCAGCGTGGATTCAATTCCAGCACCAGCTGAGGTTACCATGAAGGACTCTCCATCTCAACCTCTCCCCTCACCTAGGGGGTGGTCACCCTCAGGTTAAACCACCCCCCCAGTCGCCTCTCTCCGAGCCCCCTCGGATTGTGGCGATTTCACAATTTATTGAGCGGTGGGGGAGGCTGGCACTTGCGTGTACCCCTGGCAACCTCCAGCCTGCAAGCTGCTAGCCACCTACACAGGACAGGTGCTGTCTCCAGGCTTCCTTCCTCTTTCCCCACTAAACTTGTAAAGTGAGCCAGAGACTGACTGAGGGAGAAAGCTGGTTTAAGCACCAAGGTTGCAGACTGTCTTTCCAGTACCTGAGTGGTCCTGATCAGTGTTATGAGCCTTGATGAAAGTCGAGGAGCTGTACCAAAGATCCTGGGTGATCAAAGGCAACATTAAGGTCAGGGAGCTGCACTGTGCCCAGTGGATAGATTCATTGCTGAGTGTGTTCAGTTTTACTAGAAGTTTGTAGGAGGCAAAAGGCAGAGGTCATGCAATCCCTAATTAATTCTACACATCAAGAAACTCCACTTGCAATTCTTCACCATTCTCTTGAGCCTTCCTCATGTACACAGTGGCTTTGAATTTCTGTAATGGTTTCTAATGAGGTATGAAAGTGCAGGTTTCTGTACAATCGAAATGATGTTGTAGTAGGTTTGTTAACAGCCCCACAGTGTGAAGGTGTGGATAAATACATTGTCCAGAAAAGACTTCACCAGACTCGACGTTTTGTCACTCATTCTGCTTTTCTCCCAAGTGGTCTCATGGGCTATTCGGTTCCACAGCTACGTGATCCCAACGAAGGGAAGTTGGTATTAATTAGATTCCTCTAATAAAAAATGAACAGTAAATCTTCCATAATATTTCCCACACTAGTGTTTCTCCAAACAAAATTGCAGGGTTATAGGAAAAGAGGAGAGTGTGGGATAAGCTGGATTGCTGTTTGGAAGGGTCCTTGGGCAGGCAGGGCTGAATGTCTCCATCAGTATTGCACTCGTCTGGGAATCAGTCAACCTTTCATTCTCATTTTCTTCCCTCCATTAAGTGCAATGTCCGTGCCCCTAAATACCACTGAACCCTGAAAATGCAACAGATGATCGCTTGGTCTGTTTGGGAATAACGGAGATCAGAGTGGTTCATATAAAAGGGTGTTTTCAACACCTTCCAACTTCCAATCCTGGCCAGGAATTAACACCACGATGACCTAACTTGCCTACCCCTATAACTAGGATATAAAAAATGCATATTTCCCCCGCAGAACAATTGCTGAACCAACTAAACAAATCTAAGAGGGATTATTGTTGGTTTCTGTTAATCATTCTTATCCTGACAAAATATTAACTTGAGCGTTAGGAGCCGATTTTCCATGCCTGAGTGTGTGTGTCTGTGTTTATGTGTGTGTGAGACTCTGTGTGTGTGTGTGTGTGTGTGTGTGTGTGTGTGTTTTAAGGAGTAAATCTTTGTTTAGTTGGAGAAAGGTGAAAACCATCAATCAGAAGTTCTGTAAAACAAAATAAGGTACACTTCGATAGCTGCTGAAAAAGTACAAAAGGAATTTTAAATGCATCTGAAAGTTCTGGTCTAATTCTGCCTTGAATAAGATTGACTAAAATCAATAAAACATTTCAGTTACCCTTTTTTAAACTGAGCACTGTGCATAATTTTTTCTAATCTTGAAAAATATTTTGAGTTTTTATTTTGAAGCTGCCTTGCAATCTGGTTTAATCCATCAGCTGTATCAATTGCTCAGTACGCCGAGGAGAAAATTAAAACCTTTTCCAGTCCAAATAGTTTATTCATTGATAAAACTCCAAGCCCTGTGATATTTTCATTTGTGTGCAGCCTGTTTTTGAAGTTATTTTTGTGAAAATTCCTTCATAGTCATGCTGCAAGGTTTGGGCTGTTTGATCTTAATATGAATTTGTCTCCCTTTGTGCTATGACGGGTGGCTATTTGAGATTTGTTTGTTTGTTTCTGCTCATTAGCAGTTTCTTTGAAGGTTGATGTGAAATATCTGTGAATCTCTGTGTTCTCTGAGGTTGTAAGACTGGTACCCTTAAGGAATTTTATTTTTACTTTTGGCTGCAACTCGGGGTCTGATCAGCCTGAAGTGAAGCTTAGAGTCCCTCTGCCTGCAACTTAAGGAGAGACAGCAGAGCGTCTTAATGCAACAGTTTCACAAGTGCATTAACACAAAAAATTATCTTGGCAGTGCATTTGTGAATCACTCTGTCCCTTTGTACTTGGTGATTAGGAATTGTGCAGAGAATTGTACTGACAAGACTTGTTTTATTCTTGTAACGTCCTCTTGACCCCTTCTCAACCAATTATTTCATTCATCTGAAACCTGGCACATTTACTTAGGGTTTGAAGGCAAGAAAAATCTGCCAAAGGTTCCAATCTCTCAAGTCACAAGTTAATGCGTTTTGGAGTCATGTTGTTAATTTAGTAATCTACGTTTGTAGCAAACAACTTTATGCCTGTGGCAAAATGTCAAAATAGTTTTAGAAAGGTCTTGTTTTTCTCTCCCCTTGTGAACAGGGGCCTGTGGAATGTGCTTAAAAGACTGTTGGGCCTTCAGATTTTTTCGACATGCTCAAGTCTTAGTCAGTTTTGATGCATTTCTTCGCAATTACGGCCCTGAGAGAGTAATGGTATGAGGAGATTCAGCTGGATATCACTAATCCTTAAATCATTTCCTTTCCCAGTACACTGCCAACATTGAGGTTGGAGTGACAATTGTAAATGGATATTCTCACCTCCTGTTCACTGTTGACTTGGTTAGTTAATCATCTATAAATAAACCTTCGTAATTTAAGGTAGAGACAAACCAGTTTACAGCTGCATTTGTAAGTGCGGTATATCCTGTATTTGTGGGTTACATTCCTGATGTCTAACTGGGATTTCTCTCTGTC